TTCCCTCTCCCTTTCAAGGGTGGAATGACTTAACTGTAGCACAATTAGCATGTAATTTGTAAGTCATTATAGCACAAAGTGTCTGGTGAGAATATTTTATCGAATAAACCTGCTGAGCATAATTTTCTGTGGAACTAGAAAAATATTAAACCATCTCCTGTCTTTTCCTACCATCTTTAGAGATCGCTAAGGCTATTGCTGCCGCCTGCAATTACAGCTCATATTAGAGGGAGTTAAAGGCCACGGGATTTTGCACCATTTCCTACAGAAAGAATTAAAGAATTTGAGAGGGGGACAAGACACTTTCTAGGTTTCATTAACTAAAAACTCTGGGAAAAGAGCCAAGACAGGCATCAGGTGTTGGAGACAAACGCTCACACGGACTTTGCTCCCGGGTTTCACGTGGCAATGAGGGCGATCACACCGTTACCGCCTTCGATGGCTGCTGAACAGATTCCGCAGATGGAAACAAGTGGGCAGCACTGCGAAGGGACTCAGCGGCCCTCATCCTGGTTCACTGTCCAGATTAAGCGTGCCGTTTCATCACAACTGCTCCTCCTCGGAAACGGCTGGCTTCAGAAATTCCTCCCCTCCTTTCTACCCTCAACTTTTCCCACACTTCCATTGCCACTTTGGAGCTGGGCCAAAACCAGATGGCTAAAATAAGCCAAGCTAAAAGACAAAAAGGGAACTGCAAGAGCAGGAGCTCCTTATGCCAGCTGCACTACTGAAGATAAAGCGTCAGCTACGGCACACTCCGTCATTCCTTGTACAATCCAGTTCCACTTCCCGTACAGCAAGACTGACACCAGGCCAGGGCCGACGGGCAGCTCTCGCAGCCGCGCAGAACCGAGATCACTCACTCCGGCCGTCCCAGACTCCAGAGCCCCGCACCGGGGCAAAAGCACAGTGGCCTTCTGGAGACAGGAGGAAACCTGAGGTTCTCTGGTTTCCCTTCTCTTGTGCATCAGCAAACACAAACGGGTTAATATTATTAATTAAAGAGCTCCTTCGCACTCACATTCCCTTCAGCCCTCCTTTGTGCTGGCTGCTTGCTACAGGTGTTGACACTTGCAGCCCGCTTCAGGATCCCCTTGGCTAAGGGCACACGCACTAGCTCTGCGTGCTGCCTGCAAGGGCTCTGTCGAGCAGCTGCCCACACACCGCGAGACTTTGGCCAGAAAAATCCATTCTGTGTCTGGAGTTCTCAAACCCACACACCGACACTGAAATGTAAAGAACAAATCCTTTCCCACTCTGTGCCGAGGAGGACGGACGGAGCACGGAGGGACGGCAGGAAGGGGTAAAGGCTGTTTTCCTCCAGGCCGCCGTTCACTTGCGAGGCTGCAGCTCTCCAGACGGAGCCTGAGCGCTGGCAGCAGCAGCAACTCCATCCATCACTCGCCCCCGTGCCTCTTTGAGCAGCAGCAGCGCCGCTGAGCCCCGCTGCCCTCGCAATGTTTGCCAGTGCCCAGAGCAGTGGCCTTGGCAG